CCAAGTCAAGCCAAAGAGCACTTTACGCACCCAACGGGTGAATTTCTTATAACTCACGGACTTGTACAGTGGATATATATACAACTAGTTTAAAAACAGAAATAAACCCGAAAATCCTTCCTCAATGTTGGTGAAAATAGTCGTACGAATAACCAAAAGACACTGTTTCCGTATGAGGATGCGTGCGCAGAAATTATTTGAAATTTGGATCATGGTTTGAAGATTTAACACGATATTCATAATTTCGGAATGCAGACAGTGCCCTTGGTCACGTGCTACCCTGCAAATGAACTAATTGCATTCACTGAAATGCTTGAAAACAAAAAACTCATCCAAAACAATTCCAGATATCGGGGGAAAATATAAGAGGTTTGGAGAACAAAGTGAAATGTTTTCCTCTCAATCTAGATATATATATATATCGGAGAGGAAGGATTCAGGCAATCATGAATCTAAGAATAAGATTATGTGAAATAGCCAGTTTCTCGAGTTCATATACATTGAAAGAAAAGTTTATGGGCTTCCGTTAAAAGGCCAGTAACATGAGCAGACCTAGGTCAGATGATCAGTGAGGGTGACAAGTTAAGGTAAATAAGGAAATTCTGTACGTAAAAACTAACTGACTCGGCAAAAGTCGCAAGTCGAAGAAATCTATCAGGTGACATGTATATCACATGCTCCAGCAGACGAAATCTAAACAGATCGGGTACTCGCTCTTGCACATAACAGTGACTGCGTAGAACTCCGATCCTTATCTCCGCATTGCTTCATTACTTTTCCTGCCGGACTCACACAACGTGGAGTGGTGTCCGAACACCGATGCTCTTTCTTTGTCCCTCTCCCACAAATCAAGTAGCTGCAATATAGATCAGCACCGGCCAAACGGCTTTCATGATTTCTACCCTATTCTATTGTAAGAATTTTAATGCTGAATTTGCAAATGAGGGGCCTATCTTTCGCAACAGTGAATTTCTTGTTTTCAACCCAGAACGGAAATAAAACAGTCTATAAGATGAATGCGTTTACATGTCGGTATCGATCGTTGGGAAGGAGAATGTCAAGAAACTCTTATCCTTCAAGGGTGATCATTCATTAAATACAACAGAATTTAAAGACCACCTTGGAATACAGATTCGTGATAGTTGAGTGGTGCCTGCTACAGACAACTGACGCGCTCAGTTTCCAAAAACAGTGAAATAGCGCTATTGAATTCAACGGTTCTCACATTATTTAGTGGTTAAATTATGCCTTGGCATAAGGGTATGAAAATCTTGACTCAGTCATGTAGATTCTCATAAACTTCCTGACCGAGGAGCGCGGAACCAGTTGATATGGCCAAGGTAAACGATGCCAGTCGTGTATCTCCTCGCTCCCTGGTTTACTTGCGGTTTGCATTTTTGCTTGATAACTGGGTGCATCTTTTCAGGTTTTACAGTTCTTTTTGTTCAAAAAAGATAGCCGAATCACATAACAGAAAAAGCCGGTTCACAAAAAGACGAGGGTATTGGAGGTAAAATAAACAAATAAACAAACAAAACAGGTAGTGATGTACTTGTGTCGTTTTTATCGGATAGAATACAGCATAGAATCCCCCTGAAGTTCTCTCTACACCATCCAGGGTCTTGAATTATTAAATCCAACGTGACCGACTGAGAACCTTTTGTCCTGCTGATCCCGTGTGTCACGCACCACTAAAAGCAGTTCATTCCGGTCAGGCGTAACTGAAAATGCGCCGTTTGTCCCGGAAACCTGGCTAGTCGAACGCGTTAACCAATCAAAGGATCGGAGCTTAGATTCTAACATTTGGGCATCACTATTAGCATGGCACGCTATAACCGAAAGGAAGGTGAATACAAGGCTTCAAACACTCGATTATCCTTCAGGTGTGAGCTGACACGCAGAACGAGACTGACCGAGCCCCCAATTGAGTGAAACAAAGTGAATACACTGGGCAAACAATGCATCTGCACCAGCGCATTTCTTCGAAAAAATCACACAATTAGGGAATAACAGAAGAGATGGTCCGCAGACTTACATGCGCCGCAGTTCAGAAGATTGCACATTATTGGGTTCTCCCGAATGGGAACGCGAAACGTAGATGTGATGTTGCTGAGCCTCTGTGGGGAGCGAGGGGACGAACAAAGGTTCGATTTCGGAGAAAAAATCCGAAACACCGGTAGCGAAGCCGTCCGCTGCAGATTGGATAGCGGACAGGATTTGGCGAGCTAAACTCGTGCGCCTGTCGGAACCGGCACGCGTGTTGGTCGGTGAGGTGGACTGGGAACGGATTCTTGAACCGGAACGACTGTCACGGTCAAGACGTTCGGCTCGCAAAGTCTCCATATGTCTTAGCGCCTCTTGTAGTTCCATTAGACTTTCTTTATAATGATTACGCTCAGCTATGACACGAGCCATTTCTCGTTTGGTGAAACAAGGCTCGCCCAATTTTGCAGTTTTCATGGCCTGTTTGAATTTTGAAACAGAGGAAAGTACAAACTGGTCACATATTCCAAGGAGTTGTCACTGAATGTGAAACATGTGCTCAATTCATTGTGCATTTACCCTAACAGTAACCAGCATTACACATGCATATATAACCCAGCAGTGATAGAAAACGTGTCTCGCAGGATGCACGAAAAACAAGAGTATTTTAAAAACTAAAATTATGCTGTGAAGTTGTACAAGAAATAAAAGAAGACAAGAGCACAAACGCGGATACGGACGACAGATGGAATATTCGTATCACATCAAAGAAAAAAACAAGAATGGTCTTTATGATAATAACAGAACCTTCACCACCTGTTTTATTGAATATATGGTTATTTCAACAAATGATGTCAATCCGCGTGTCTTCGTTGCTTACGATTTCACCATTTTGTTAGTTACAATATATTACGGTATGGCATTTATTCTCCTTTTCTTGTACCACTTTACATTCCACATATTTGACTTACTAGGCAGATTTTTGTTTGTAAAAAGGCTGTAGATAGAACGGCTGGCGATATACTCCATGACTCTAACTCTATCATTCTGTAAGACTCTGGTGGTAGTGGCGCCCGGTGGTTTAGTCGCAGTCACCGGTGTGCTCTGGATCCTGTGGTCCGAGGTTCGAGCGCCGCCACCGCCACCCAACTTTGGTGATGGACGAAGTTGCTGTCGCCCCGTTCTATACCACGTGTGACCTAGTGGGATCTTATGTGATTCGCCTTTTCAAGTCCCGGTGCTTAGGTTGTCGATTGCCATCACTGAACAGCAGATCGTCGTAACTCTGTGGCTCCACCCCGTCTGATGGCCACCACACAGCAGTGTGTAATAAAATGAATTATAACACTCAACGACCTGTTAATCTGAAGATCTAATTGAAACACTATAAATGCATTGGAGTCCTCGTTTCCCCTAATCGTAGGTAGGCTACACATACCGGCTTATTATCCATTCTCAATATTCTTACTGCGGAATTATTCAGCCCTTTCTGCTTTTTCAGTTTGCGCTTCATTTACTCTGTATACAACGAAAATCTCGAAGTAAAATAATCAAACACTCAAGGGTACTAGCAATTCAAATAACTTGGAGGTTTCACTTGACAAAAAATGGTCTTGTCATACGCAACAAGGTCAGAAGGAGAACCTTTTACATTTTATGCCTACAGTACCCGAAATGCCCTGTTTCAGAAATCCCTGAACTCCAGTGTTTCGTGCCCTTAAATTTACTGTTATCATGATATATATATTTTTATTAAATATATATTATATATATTATAATATATATTCCTGTTCTTCAATGTATATATATATATATATAAACTACCGGATGCATATGCCTAACGAACGGCAAGAACCGCGAAACCGGTCGTATGCTTCCAAGAGAATTTTATCGTCATTCATATACTACTTATTGTAAAATATGTATTCGAATAACAGCAACAACAGCAGAAGTGGATATCATCACAGATATATTATGTCTAGTGTGGGCTAATACCAAATTCATTTTCCAGAATAAGGCTTGACACAATAGGCTTCTGAGGAAGAAATCTGATGAAAGTCGTTTTTTTCATTACACACTTTTAGTATGACGAACAAAGATTCACAAATCCGTTTGAATATATTTTTGTCAGTTACTAATTTTCAGTGAACGACTTTCGGAAGAAGTGAAACCAACTTAACTTGGTGGTGCCATTCTTCGCTAGTTTTAGATAACGTTGCATAATTAAGTAACCTTTTATGACCACCCCGCCAAAGCCAATCACGCCATAACTTATTCCGCCGACAATGTGTCCTCAATAGAACTCACTCTCAAATTGACCTGGCTCGAAGGAGCAACATTATTCCTCGACTTACCTCGTCCAATGAATCAGTAGTTCCCGGATTAGCGACTCCTGAAGTGGCTTCGGTGACGAGGACAGGATTTGGTGTGGCAGCAATTCGTTTCCCTGACACACCAGAGGATATACAATTCAGCGACCCACCAAACTTGCGAGATGCTTTCAGATTTGAGCCCTGGGCGCTGGGTAGGATTAATGATGAGGCGTCTGCATTGAGCAACAAACAGGATGTGGCATGCGTCAGTTTGGATGCGGCGACAGGATCGAGTTTGTTCAGTGCGGTCTCGTCCACATCCTCGTACAATTTCAAACGGGCTAGCAAATGAGCCATCTTGTTCTGACAATCGTGCACTTGGCGGACTAGGCGATTCGCCTCATTTCGAGTTTGATCCCGATTGTGTCGTACTGATTCCAATTCCTTGATCAGCATAAGTTTTTCTCTGTACATTCGTGCATATATGGGGTGCAAACACGATTATAATATTAATAGGGTCCATATTTCTTTCAGTTTCCACAACCATTACCCTTGCACTACCGTGCGCCGGTATTGGTTGCTGTCTTTTGGCAGCCCATTTGGATGAACATAAGAGAAAGACTGCAAAGGTTTAAAGTAGGATCGAAGAGAAAAGTTACGATGTCATTGTACTACCTTTCCGACAATATGCGCGAACGCTGCTGTTTACGACACTCAGCCATACCGCTCAGTGTCTCTAACCATTGGGTATGATCATCCCGAGGTCCCAGCTAGGGAGCCTTGGGGGACCTATGTGACCCAGAATCCCGGTTAGGGTTTTAATACAGTCATACTAGGCCTTAGTTTGACCACCCTTGATCTTTTTCCACCCCCAAACTGCCTCGACGAAGATGGCTCGCCGTGTCAACCTATCTGGTGACAAGCGTAACACATGTCCCAACCAACGTAATCTATGGAAGTCGACTACTTGTTCCAGTGGGTGACCACATTTACCAAAACTCGGCACCTAAAATCAGCATTGCTCGTCGGGCTGCCCCACGAGATTCGTGCAATGCTGCGTACACAACGATGTTCGAACACCGACAGTTCATCTTTATCTTCATTCCTTAATGGCTACGTTTCTGCGCCGTATAGCAGAACTGGACCGACTGCCGCAGCATACACACGATCTATCACAGATAGCCGGATGCTGCGACGACGCCACAGATGTCTCAAGTTGGCAAATGACAATCGAGCCTTCCGTATGAGAGCTGACACTTCATCTGTGGGCGGTCAACGGATGAGATATAGCTGCCCAAATAACCAAGCTTATCTACTTGCTTTACTGCTTCCTCAGTTAGAGTGAAGCTGGGTGTAGGACCAACCCAATCTAGAAGTAACATTTTACTCTTTGAAGGTGCAAAACGCAAACCGAACCTGGTTACACTAGCACTCAAACTATACAGAAAAGCTTGTAACTTACCTGGATCTTCACTTAGTAGCACATCGTCGGCATATTCTAGACCAGACAGCCTGCCACCTGGGAGTAAATTGATACCGCTATCCT